AACTTCCAACTAAATCAGTTCATTTCTATACCGCAAGATCGATCATTTAAGGCTGGAACAAAAGTAGATATCCGTACAGCGTGTTTCTCGAGAGGTTTCTAGAAGCACTGGTTTGTCCTGCATAAATAGTATACCGGAAGTAGTGTAAGAATCGAATTCCGCGAAAATGATCAGGATTTTCCGAGAAAATCGATTATACAGAACGAGCTAATTAAACGCACAGAGATCTATTTCACTGCTTATAAAATTTCTAAATTAAATTTAATTTCCATTTGTATACTAAGAGATCAACTGTTTCAGGCTGGATACACGTAAGGTAAAAAGTTGAAATCCGGCTGAGAAAACAGCATCGTAATTTTTAGCGCGGCACTGATGGTCCACAGAAGTTGTCCGTGACGGATTTGCTACCTCTCAAACTGATACTTAATACTTGCCAGTTTGTCAGTCAAGTTATAGAATCATTTGGGTGTGAAGAACAAGATTTAGCTGCCTACAGTCTAACGTTTCTGCTTCAAGTTGTACATTGGCATTATTCCAAACTGTTTCTAGAACGTTCAAATATTATAATCATCGTTTGAGCCCACTCACCTCTCTTTATTTTTGACAATGTTCTTCGTTGAGGTACTGATGTTTTTTCTTTCTTTTTTTCTTTTTTAAATAACTGACATTGGAACACTAATATTCTCCGCCGATCGAAACTTGCATTATCTACTACTTCAGATAATCCACAAGACAGTTGAAGTGTCAACTTCCGTGCCTGTTACGGGTTGGTTTGCTCGTGACGCCCCGTCACATGACGTTCTCATGGCGTCACTAAAACCAATATATTGGTATAGGAGGTGGGTGCAAGTGGCTGCTCATAAGCCAAATAATTCTTGTGACCGAAAATCCTGGAAATTCTGATGGGAAGTCAATGGAACAATTATGTTCCAGAAAATTAGTCTGGACTCTGGGGTCGGAAAAGTCTATACCTTTTTCACATATCCAGTCTCCCAATATTTCTCATCATCATGGAAAAACAATAATCCGAATTATAAGACGCGAAAATCACTTTTTTGTTTCATATCGTCATGCATAGCGAGTTTCATCTTACGGTATTTTTGCGCGCAATTTTTCATACACAGAGTTTGCTACAAAACATAAACATTTAATTGTTAGCGGCTTAATGAAAACTAAAAGCAGCAAAAAAAATTACGGAAAGATCGAAAACGACACAGTTTCGTTCGGGAAATGAAAACAGATTTCCCCCATAAATAGGTGTACCACGTCTGCAGTAAAGTTCGCTTCCCTTTTACGATGTTTAATTTAAGTCATGCGTGATGGGTTCTTTTTTTCCGCCTTCTGAAGCTGCACAAGGGGTTATTTTGCGAGGTCACTTTTCGAACTAAGGGTAAGGAGCGTTTGGCAAGAGAACAAAGCTACCTCTTTGAGCAATCTTTACCGGGGTCTCGGAAAGTCAGATTTTAGTAACAGCACAACTCTCAAACGGAGTCGTAATAATCCGGTATGATGCACCTGTGAATTAACTCTTGCTACATTTTACCGCTGCGCAAAGCTAGTTTGAAGAATACAGTTTTCACCAGGCAGTCATTTTCAATCTTTCGGCAGCAGTTTTCATCGTTTCGTCACAACTTTCTAGAATGCGGACGACTTTAGAAGAGATTCTTCGTGGAATAATTTGGAAGAAAATTCTGTCTCGCTCGCTTTACTTACATCAAACCACATAGGTTTCGGCGCCTTGTTTGTTTAATGCAGGGTTTTTAATACATATATGTGTCACCTCGAATCTAACGCAAACACAGGGAATGATAGTTGAATAGACTTAATGCGAGATTTTAAGGTGAATAAATTTGAAGTTCAATTGGGGATTTTAATGACACGGATATCAAGCCGAGAAGTTCAAAAGTGGGAAGTGCGCACGATACCTTACAAAGTTTGGTTGTGTAAGAACATACCGGAAATAGTGTGGTATTTCCGCGAAAATCAGGATTTTCCCAGAAAGTCGATCTTCCGGAGCGCACAGTGACCTATTTCACTGCTATAAAAGTTTCAATTTACTGATTTTTATTTGCATGGGTCGTGACTGATACTTATACTACTTTATTCTAGTTTGTTATCAAGTCATGGCATCATTTTGGTGATAAGAAGTAGATTTGGCTGCTTACTGTTTATCAGTTTTTTTTTATATATAAGTTGCAGCTTGGCGATTTTTAACAAATGCTTCTGTAGACGGTTCGAATTTCATAAGCATTCGTTTCAACTCAATGTTATATACCCACCTGTCCTTATCATGCATTGGCAATGTCCTCAGTTAAAGCGATCATGTTTTCTTGAAATGACTGATATCCAATAAATTTTCTACTCCTCCGTGGGAAACTTGCGTGTTCTTCCACTTTGAGTCATTCGCACGGCAGTCGGAGCGTCACCTTCTTTCTTTCTTCCTTCGTGTTGTGAGTGACGCGGAACGATCAAGTTACAGTCGAATGCCCTTGTCAGGTTCCCGTCAAGCGCACGTGACATTCTCATGACTTCACTGAAACCGAGTTGCTTTAAGCCTCTCTATCAAAGCGAGGCCTGGTGCACAACCATTCATATGAAAATGAGCTTAATTTGCTTGAAAATGAAATTTCATTTTCATATGAAAGATTCAGACTGAAAGGATCGACACAAAGACTCGCTTTGAGGAAGAGGCTAAAGGTAAAATGGCCTATTTATGGTCGATTTATGGTGTTCCAAGTTGGGGCAAGTCACCAAACCAAAATGTCCCAGAAATTTTGGTGGAAATTGAATCGAATTGACAAATTGACGTCAGTTTTTTATGCGTCTCTCTTCTTATTGATGATAAATTGCGTTATAACATTATGACAATGTTATGTCGAAATTTATCATCGAAAAGAGGACAAAGGCATAAAAAAACTGACGTCAATTTGTTTTTTACAATAGCAAGACCCCAAAATGGTCAAATGCCGGGGATAAATGAGGAGAAAAGACACCGTAAACTTGCCGTAAACAAA